ACGATGCACCCCACCCTCAAATGAAGGCCATGCACATTCACCGCGCACGGCAGCGCAGTGCGCATTGATACACACAGCCCTCCAAAGGGGCAGCTGTCACGGCAATGCCTACACTGTGTTGGATGCGTGCAAACAAGAGGAACTTGAAGGGCTGACAGCCGACGCCAAACGCCTCCCCCGGTGGCTCCTGCCAAAAAATGTTGCACACGACGACACTCTATGCAGAATGCGCCCCGACATCCTGCGCATCCTGGGGCTGCCAGGGGCGCCGACGACCGAAGAAATCCAACATGCAGTCAGCAACAAGCACCGTCACACTATACAAGTAGTGGAAGTCGGCTACTGCTCTGACACGCAGTGGCGGGCCAAAGTGGCAGACAAACTGCAACAACATGAACAACTCATGATAGCCCTAGAGCAGGCCGGTTGGCAAGTGGACCGGACACCTCACATCATTGTCATTGGAGCACGCGGCGCCATCTATCACAGTGGCCGTGAGGCCCTGCTGAAACTGGGTCTCAGCAAAACGCAGGCTAGCAACGTATTGATTGACATCCACCTGCATACAGTGCAAGCAGTATACGACCTCTCACTGGCCAGACGGCGGCTCGAGCGGGGCCACCGTCAAGTGGGGGTAGGCTAGTGGCCAACCCCCCCACACCCACACCCCGGCTAAGAAAGGCCTTCTTTGAAGGCGCTGGAGCTAGTGTCTAAACCCTCCGAGAGGGCACAGGTTCGATTCCTCCCATGTCGAAACTTTGTGAGGACAAACGCGGCATAGCTGACCGGCTCAGCGCCAATCCAAGCCAATTCCTTCGGGAACGCCTAATAGAATCGCCAAGGCTTCGGCACAGGCCTCCCCGGGACCCATTCACTACTAGTGGGGGGTACTGCACTTGGCGCGTCGGGCAGATCAAATAATGGTCTAAAGCTAGACGTTAAAACCGGGAAGTGAAGCTTGTGGAGGCTCTTCCCCACCTTTACCTTTACCTTTACCCCCACACCCACACCCAATGGTAGCCGGCAGGGTGGGCCTCCGGGCCTGCACCCAGCTGGCTTCCTCAATCCACGCCCAAGGGCGTATTCTTTCTTTCTTTCTTTCTTTCTCGAGCTGCTGCAAAGCGGTACAACTGGGGTGAGTGGGCGCCGGCCACGTCGGGGCTCTTGCATTTCAACGCTCCTTGGCTCTGCATGTAACGTGCCGCGCAGTGTCTTATTTTGTACAACAAACCTGTTCCAAAGCACTCACGCGTTACTCGATGCTGCGCAATTGACCCTCGCCAATGCAGTCAGAAGCAGCCACCTTGCAGGACGAACACAGCAACAGCTGTTCCTCATGCCCCTCAGAGCGGGATGTCGGCGCGGACAGCAGCACTGCGGCCGCCAGCGGCGGCAGCGCCAGCGGCAGCCTTGTTTTGGATGCGCCGAGGTCCGATAGGGGTGGTCTTGGGCTAGCTGATGGCCAGGGCGGAAGCCCACACGTCACCAAGGCATCCCGCCCCGCGTTTGCGCTGCGCATCAATCTGGCCGCCTGCCGCTACCCCGTGTGTGAGTTGCGCCGCCTGCGCCACGTGCCCAGCAGGTTCACCCAATGTGCACCGCCTCGGCACCAGGCCTGCTCCTGAGCGCCGACTGCTCCCCTGCGCCCGCCGGCTTCCTGTCACTCCTGCAGTGCGGGTGGTGCAAAAGCAGCTGGGCTGGGCTGAGGCGGAGGACGAGGCGGCGCATGTGTTCTGGTGCGATACCAGCGCCGGCACTGAGCGGCTGGTGCGCCTGGCGCGCCCCCAGAAGCTCAACCACTTCCCTGGCATGCTGGAGATCGCCCGCAAGAAGGGGCTGGCCCGCAACCTAGCCCACATGCGGTGCGCTGCTGGGGATCGGCGGCAGGGGCGCAGGCGTGGCAGGCGCTGGCGCCGCTGCAACGCTCGCGCCGCCATCTGGCAGCCGCGGCAGCCTCCCTGCCTTGCTGGCCACCCCCCTCCTGCCTGCCTGCCCCCTGCAGGGCGCTCTTCCCAGATCAATTCGACTTCACCCCTCGCACCTTCCTGCTGCCAGAGCAGTGGGAAGCTTTCCAGGCTGAGCTGGCGGGAAGCAGGAGCAGCGGCGGCAGCGGCAGCAGCAGCGGTGGCAGCAGCAGCAGCACCCTCGGCGGCAGCCGGCGCGCCACCTTCATCTTGAAGCTCGACAACGGCAGCATGGGGCGCGGCATCCGCTTGGTGCAGGTGGGGGCGGGTGTGTGCTGGCTGGCTGCATCGCGGGCAGCTGGCAGGCTCCCAGCCGTGTATTGGTTTGGGGTATCCCCACACCTTCGCCTCTCCGCTTCCTGGATCTTCAGTCCCCACACCCCACCCCCGCCCCTCGGTGCAGACGGCGGCGCAGGTGGCCCAGGCGCTGCCCAGCTTTGAGCACGGCAACCTGGTCGCCAGCGAGTACCTGGATGCGCCGCTGCTGATAGGCGGGCGCAAGTTCGACCTGCGCATTTATGCACTTGTCAGGTTGGGCTGGGCTGGCATGACCTGGCATGACCTGGCTGGGAACACCGACATGCCACGATGCAGCAAGAAGGGAGGGGAGGCGGGGAGCCCGGGAGGGTGGGGGTGGGGTGGGGGGGGGCAGGGGCGCCAGCGGCGGGGGGCTGTGGCATCGCGCACGCCACCCTGAACCCCACCGGCCCCTCGCAGGTGCTGCAACCCACTGCGCATCTTCCTGTACCGCGACGGCCTGGTGCGCTTCTGCACCGAGGCGTACCAGCCGCCCTGCGCCGCCAACCTGGACCGAGCCTGCATGCACCTCTCGAACTACGCCGTCAACAAGCACAGCCCCGCCTTTGTGTTCAACAGGCAAGCACCTTCCACCAGCTGCAGTGATCTTTCTGCTGCGCAAAGTCCCGGCTGCTGAAGGCGCCAAGCATAGCCTTGCTGCCACGCCGCTGTGCTGTCGTTGCGTGTTCTCAGGCTGCTTGGGCGCCGTCTGCTGCCTGCCTGCCTGCCTGCAGCGATGCGGGGGAGGCTGGAGACGGCAGCAAGTGGTGCCTGGCGGCGTTTGCGGAGCACGTGGCGCGGGAGGGGCACGACTTTGGGGCGCTGTGGGGCCGCATCCAGCGAATCGTCTCCAAGACGCTGATCTCCTGCCAGCCCATGCTGCGGTACCACGTGAGGCAGCAAGGGAGGGAGGTGTGGGAGGGAGGGAGCCCAGCGGGCACTGCCATGAGGCACTGATATTGCAGACCCATGCTAGCGTCCCGCGTGCACACGGTCCACCGTGCGTGCTGCCATTGCCGGTAGGGACCCCATCACATCGACTGCATGGCTGAGCGTGAGCGTGCCTGCCGTGCAGTATAAGTGTGCCACCCGCCCTGCCGACGACGGCCTGTCCTGCTTTGAGCTGCTGGGCCTGGATGTGCTGGTGGACGCAGAGCTGCGCCCCTGGCTGCTGGAGGTGTGCGCCGCAAACAGCAAAGGGAGGGCCTGCAGCGCGCTGCAAACAGTGCTAGACGGCTGTGCGCAGGCCCACCTCATCCAACACAGGCCGGCACGCAGGCGCGCGGCCCGGCATGGCTCTGCCTGCTGCTCTCCCGAATGCTGCTGCGTCTCCGCTGCCCTCCCTTTGCCAGGTCAACCACTCCCCCTCCCTCACAACCGATACCCCGCTGGATCTGGAGCTCAAGTCGCGGCTTGTGCGGTAAGGCATGGCCCCCCGCTGCTTCTGGCCTGTCATGCAATGCATGGGACATGCAGGGGAGCATGCTGGTGTGGCTTGGAAGTAGCAAATCCTGCTGCCACCCACTCACTCTATCTGCCGCCATTCCGTGGTTTGCTGCATGCAGCGAGACGCTGGAACTGGCACGGGTGCAGGCGGAGCGGGTGCGTGCTGAGCTGGAAGCCAAGGAGCGGGCCAAGCCGCAGCGGCTGTATGCGGGGCAACCAGCCTGCGCGGGCGGTGCAGGCGGCACAGGAGCAGCACAGGCTGGGGCATCCGCACCACCCAGCAACTCTGACAGCAGCGCCAGAGACTGCTCGCGGGGGTGTCAAGTCGAGGCAGCTGAGCCTGCTGGCGACAAGCTCCCAGGCTCGCATGATGCAGCAGCCTCAGACACCTGCCAAAGATCACCTGCCGGCTGCCCGGCTGCTGCCAGCTGCTCACAGCAACACATCCCTGCTGCGGCGGCTGCTGCAGCAGCTGCCGCCGAGCCAGAGCGGGGCAGTGCAGAGTGGCTGGCAGCCCAGACAGCGCACGAGGACGCTCATATGGGCCAGTTCCAGTGCATTATGCCGCCGGATGATCCCGGCCTGGTACGCAGGGGCCCTGCCGCTGCCGCTGAGCTGGCACCCGCCATGATCATGATGTGCGGGCGGCCACCTGGGGTGGCCACCTCTGCCCTCCATCAAACCGCATGAGGGATATATCCAAGGCAACCTCCAACCACCCCCAAGCCCCTCCCTGCAGGCCGAGCTGTACCAGCAGCTGCTGGCGGGGGCACTGCAGGTGTTCCACCGCTCTACGATGCAGGGGCGCAACCAGCAGAAGCTCAGGGAGCTCAGGTGAGGAGGCTCCCACCTGCTGGCTGGGGGCACTCCGTCAGGCTTGCCAGCTCCATGCAGCCAGGTTGCATCTGGTAAGAGGGGGCACCAGGCTTCGCCACAGTAAGTGCTGCGTGAGTGCAGGGAACGGCGGCAGCAGGAGGAGGCGGAGGCAGCGGCGCGGCGCGACGCGCAGCAGCGGCGGGCGGAGAGCCTGCGACATTGGATGACCGTGGCTTGCCAGAAGCAGAGGGAGGAGAGGGAGCAGCAGGCAGCAGCAGTTGCGCCGGCTGGGGATGTCCCTGGCGTGGATTCAGCGCAGGAACACAGGTCGGCCGGCGGGCAGGCGTACGACAGCACAGCAGAATTCGGCGGAGCACTGAGCGACCGCAGCAGCGGCAGCAGTGGGGGCCTTGGGCTGGGCAGCAGCTGCTCGGCAGGCGCCAGTACGGCAGCCGCCAGCATCCTTCAGGAGCACTTTGCTCACTTTGCGGCTGCCCACCATGCGCTGCCGCCCTCGCATGGCCTCCCGGGACAGCCGCAGGCGCCTGCCTGGCAGCGCAGTGACGCACAGTACCGAGCTGCCGCGGCAGCGGCGACAGCAGCAGTGGCGGACACAAAGCCAGCGGTTGGGCCTTCCACACGCTCTTGCCTGGCTGTTGCCGGGGGACCACTGGTGCCAACTCCCCGCTCCGACTCTGCCCGAACCAGCACCGCCAGCGGCGGCGGCGCGCCAAGGGCCAGCTGCCTTGGCTGCAACGGGCCAGCCGCGCAGCACCCCGCATCAGCTGGCCTGCTGAGCAGCAGGGGCAGCACTGGCAGTGATGCTGTGACAGTAGAGCATGTGATTGAGCAACGCCAGGCAGCCGCAGCCGGTGCGGCAGCTGACGCCAGCCCTGCCAGGCCGGGGTGCATCCCTCAGCCCCGCCGCCGCTCCTCCGCTGCTCTGGCCGCCTGGGCGTCGGTCAGCGTGTGCAGCAGCCCTGGCGGGCCTGAGGCTCTCTCCTCTCAAAGCAGCACCAGCTGGCAGCAGCATGCATTGTTGGGCGCCTACAGCCATGGACAGCCCACACCTGCCGCCCAACCCACACCCAGCTCTACCTTTCTAGACAAAGTGGCTGCCTTGATCGAGCAGCAGCCCAGCATCAGCAGCGAAGGAGGGAGCGGCTGCGGCGGCGCCGACTGCGCAGATTCTGCTGGCAGTTCTGTGCGCGGCAGCAGCAGCCTGCCCCTGTCGCCAGCAGCCAGCACGCATGCCAGGGTGGCCACTCCAGACCGCTTGGCCCAGCAAGCACCGGCGGCGGGAGCCTACATCCCACCAGCCCTGCTGAGCGCGCTGCGCACGGTACGCATGAGCCCATGCCTGCCGTCAAGCATGCACGGCAGCCCGCCGCATGGGAAGCACAGGCAGCGGCGCCGGCAGCTGGCGCCAGCCGTAGCTGGAAGTGGGGAGCCTTCTGTAGGCGGCGGCAGCAGCCGCAGCACAGGCAGCAGCACAACCAGGAGCGGCGGGGAGCGCAGGGCAAGCTTTGGCCAGGCGGGCATCGGCCTCCCGTGGATGCCGGACGCTGTGGCGACTGCCAGCACAGGCGTTCCAATGCCACCGGCTCACGCAATCCTGCCTGCTGCTGCCCGGCGGGGCAGACCTGGAGCGGCATCGGCCGGGAAGCCATCCCCGACATCCAGGCAGTCGCCCCCAAGCGATGCGGTGAGGGGGCCGCCCACGGCGACTGGCGGTAGGGGAGCGGCAGCTGGGAGCAGGGGGCGCATCAGGGGCTCCAAGCAGCAGTATCTCGAGACCATTGAGCAGCAGGCGGTGCAGTCGGTGGCTGAACTTGTCTCGAACATCATCCATTCGCGAGGCCTGTAATGGTGACGGTTGGAACAGCTGCATCCAGCGGTCGTACAGCTTGCTGTGGTATTTCTGGCTGGAGGCTCCCTGCTGGGGTGGCGGCTTACAGGAGCTGGCAGCTGGATGAGATGGTCAGTCCGAGTAACACAGGTCAGGGTCTAACTGAAAGGGCTGCGGCAAGCCCCAGGCAGTGCCTTCGTCACCCAGCAGGTCGGCATTGGTGCACATGGCAGCCGTAGCAGCCGGCGGCGTCCAGGTGCTCTCGCAGCCACCGCACAGCCTGCTGCTCGCAGTGGTGGATGCCCTCCCTACCGGGCCTCCACTGGCTGTCGTGCCCGGGGACGGTGTAGCGGCCCGAGTATCCCAGGCTCATCCCGCCCAAATTCAGCCCAACAGACAGGACCTGCAGCGACAGGGGACACAGCTGAGACGAGTGCCACGGCAGCTGGAGTGCCAGCCACCCAACGCTGATACAGCGCGGGGCGCCGCTGGGCCCAGCCCACCTGCAGGCGGTGCAGCAGCGATGGGTGGCCCTGCACGCAAGCGGGGCGCATGTTGATTCGGTCAGCGCTCCCTGCTTCTGGCCATGCCATGCCATGCCGTGCGGCGAACGCCAGTCGGCCAGCAGCGTGCGCGGGCCGCCACCGGAGGCGGCGGCAGGGAACTCGCCTCCAGCGCCTGCCACTGCTCCTCCAGCTCCTCAAGGTCGGCGCTGAGGGTCAGCCGCAGCGCGCGCAGGCTGGGCGAGGCCGACGCCTGGAACAGCACCCGGTGCAGGGGCTGGGCAAAGACGGTGCCGGCTATGTTGAGGGCGGCCAGGTTGCGCCGCCCGGCGATGGGCGGGAAATCCAGCAGTTCGGCGTGGATATAACCAGCGCAATCTGCAGAGGGCAAGGGGCAGGAGCTTGCTGCTCCCACACAGTGCTGACGGCTCGCCACCCATGCTGGGCACGCTGCCGCAGGGTCCCCCCAGCCCCGCCAGCCCACCAGCGATGTACAGCTTCGTGACCGAGGTGCTCAGCCGCAGGGCCTGCATGTTAACAAACTACACGCCCACCAGCGCCACCAGCTGCAGCTCCCTGCAGGGCGCCCGCACACAATGGCAGCTCTCTCAGGGGTCACAGCCTCTCAGGAGCAGGCCAAGCCAACGCACTGTGGCAGCCTGGCACATGCACCGCATTAGGCCTTGCTGTCCCGCCCGAAGGAAGGAGCAGCCAGGTAGGCACCGCATGCGCAGCAGCCAGGGCACAGGCGCCCGAGGGAGCACAGGGGCAGCGTGCAGCATGGGCCTCGCCTGAGGAGGGACATGTCGTCAGGCAGCTGCACGCCGTGCACCACGTCCTTCAGCACGAGGCTGGTCAGCCCGGTCAGACAGCCCAGGGTGACCAGGAATGCCACCTGCTCCATCCCGAACCCGACATGGCAATCGCACAGGCACAGGCGGCGCAGGGCGTTCAGCCGCAGCAAAGCGGCTGGGTTGGGGAAGGAGAGGTCGCCTCCAGGCTGGTCAGCTGGCTGCACGCCTGCCACTCCACATCCATGTGGCGCAGGGTCAGCCGTCGCAGGCCTGGCACCCGGCCCAGCGGCGGCAGCCGCGCCTCTGGGCCCTCGTACTTGCATCTGAGCTCCAGCTGCAGCTCGCCGATGGCCGCCGGCAGGTGCGCCAGCTGGGCCAGCACCAGCGGCTGCTGCCCGGCTTCCAGGTCGGGGTCGCCGCTCAGGTCTACAGACAGCGCCAGGCGCCGCAGGCGAGAGCCCAGCTGCGACAGGTGCGCCCAGGCGGCGGCAGTGGGCAACGCCCTGCCGTCGGCCAGGGTGAAGCCGTGCGGCCAGGGCTCGACGGCCTCCAGGCGGAAGATGTCCAGCGCGGCGCTCCGCAGCTGCGGCAGGCCGGCCTCCGCCTCCGCCACCTCCGTCAGCAGGCCGCGCAGCTTGAACTGCAGCCCCGTCAGGCCGGGGAGCCGCCTGCGCGCAGCACGCAGGGGCGCGGCGGGGCCGGCACGCCGGTGGCATGCACTGCTGCCGTTCGGGCGAGGCCCCGCCTGGCCGCCGCAGACCTGAGCACAGATGGCAGCATGAACTGGATGAAGGTGTCGTTTCGGTGATAGACGTCCTGCTCCAGCTCCAAGTACTGCAGGGCGGCCCCGTGGCGGTGCAGCGCCAGCGGCATACACGTCGCCAGGTCCAAGACAGCAACCCTGGCAAGGGACAGCAGTGACGGGGCGCAGCCAGTCGGCCGGTGGGCCAGGCACCGCATGCAGCGATGCAACTGCACCCCACACACCGGCACGCCGTCCCAGGGCCCCTGCCCACCCCACGACGTGCCTGCGTGCTGCCGGCAGCAGCGTCTCGGCAAGCAGGTCCCACGCGTCGGGCGCCATGTCCCCCAGCCCGTGCAGCGTGACTTGTAGCGCCCTGCGGCCGCTCAGCAGGCCCAGGGTCCTCCTCACAAGATCCACATGGCGAGCCGCGCCAGCTGCGTGCTCCATCGACTCGAAGCGCAGCTCCAGGCGGGAGCAGGGCAACGACAGGGCAAGGCGGCGCCAGCGCCGGCACACAAGCGCCACCGACCCCCTGCAGCGGGGCAACGGGCGGCGGGCTGGATCACATGGATGCACACACTGCACCCTATTCTTGCAGGTGCTGCGCTGTGGAGAGGTGCGCTGCATGCAGCTGCACGTTTGGCGCACCGATTGACAACGATTGCGCCCTTAAACGCCGTGCATGTATGTTCCGGAATTAGCTGGAAGATGTGGAGAAGAAGGTCGTCGGGGACAGCGGCGATGCGGTTTTTGCTCGCCGCTGCGCGAGGCTGGCATCGAGCCAGCAGGTCCCTAAGACTCATGCGGGTGTAACATGAGTGCTGTAATCCTGGCAAGAGACCGCCGGGGCGCCAGTTCAGGGGGGCGCCCACCCGCTGACGCCGCTGCTGCGCCAGAGGCTTAGCACACAGCGCGCTAGGTACCTCATTGCTGAATTCTGCTGAAATGTATATTCTCACTTCTCGAGCTCCAGGGCAGGTGCCAGGTTCCTGAGTCAAGAAGAACCCTGGCCACTTTCCTCTGGGCTCAGCTCCCGGCCCGGCCACTCTTGCCCTCTGTGCTGCCTTCTGCCAGCATGCTTAGGGGTGCTCGGTCAGCAAACTATCCTCAAAGCTGGAGCCTTGGACGTGCCTGCCACCTTAGAGGGGCCGCCCCCTACCACTGGCCAACCCTGCGCCCAAAGACCCGACCTTGGACAGAGCCACACATGTCGGCAGCTGGCCAGCCGCACAGCAGCGAGGCGACGGGCACGTGCGCAGCCACCGCCGCCGCCCAAGGCGCGGCGCGCTGGGTGGGACGGCCGGTCCGGGAGGCCGAGGGCCGCACCTTTCACGTCGCGTTTGAGGCTGCAGGCCAGCAGTTCAACCTCGGTGAGCGGTGGCTGGGAGCCGTTTGGGCGGGACAGCAGTGGGTGGACACACCCACCAGCCCGCATTTCGCCACCACCCTGTGCCCGCGGCCCCCTGGCCCAGCCTTCTCTCCCCTCCCTTGCACCCCCAGGCGACAGCATGTACCTGCGTCCCGCCCAGCCAGGGCTTCCGGCCTTTGTCGCCAAGCTGGAGAGCCTGCACCAGCAGCAAGGGGACGGCAGCAAGTGGGCGGAGGCGCGCTGGTACTACAGGCGAGGCGGGCAGCGCAAGATGGGCCCCGGCACGTGCACTTGAGCTTGGACCCCGGCTGGACAGAAAGCAGAGGGTTCCGCGTGCACAGGGCCTGTCCCCACACCTGCCACTCACCCCCGCAAGCGCTTGCCGCTGCCGAGCTGCGTGCAGGCCGACAGAGCTGGAGGTGGGACACGAGGTGAGTGTGGAGGCCAACGAGCTCTTCTGGTCAGACGACTTTGCCACACACCCGCTGGACGCAGGCAAGGCGTCGGCACAAGCTGCTTGGCCGGCAGCCGCGGGCCGCGGGCAGAGAGTGTGGCGGGCAGCAGCCTGCCGCGGGGTGCCTCCCCGCCTGCGCAGGGCCCGCCGCCCGCGGCCGCGGCAGCAGGTCAACGCGGCGCGGGCGGCTGTGTGGCGCCCTGCTGCTGCAGTGTGCGGCAAGTGCGAGGTGCGGACCCCCGCCCAGGCCGACCGGCGCCCCGGCAGCAGCGCCTCGCGCCCCGCCGGCCCAGACACGTTTGTGTGCAGCCGCAAGTACATCCAGGGTGGGCCTGCCTGCGAGCCGGGACCCCACCAATGCCTTGCAGGGCTCCCGCCGCGCCCCTGCCTTTCACCCCGGCAGCTGGTGCTCACTGATATGTCCACTCCTCCTCTCCTCTGGTCCTCTCCTCTGGTCCTAACCTCTCCTCAGCTGCAAAGCCTCTGGGGCTTGGCCTGGCTTGCCCCACACACCCGATCCCCCCCGTGCACCCCTGCCCCGCCGCAGAGGAGGGCCGCATCGTGCCGCTTGATGGCGGCACCTCGGCGGTCAACCTGACGGCTGCGCTGCAGGAGAAGCCGTTTGCGGTGGTGAGGCTGGGCGGCATCCCGCACGTACACGAGCCCTGCCAGCTGCTGTGGCCCGCAGGAAGCTTGGTGGCAGAGAGGGGACCACAGAGCTTTCTACCTGCCTGCTGCTGCTGCTGCTGCTGCTGCTGCTGTGTCGCTGCTGCCATCTCCTGGGGCTGCAGGTGGAGGGCAAGGTTGTGCAGCGGGGCCCCTCGGCGGCAGACAGGGCGGCGGCCCAGCCGCGGCCCAAGCGTGTGCGCGCCGCCCCGGCAGCCGACAAGGGAGGCACTCCTGTCCCCTCTAGCGGGCAGCCGCAGCAGCAGCAGGCAGAGGAGCAGCTGCCCAGCAAGCGGCGGCGCCAGGGGCGCGAGGCGTACTCGCCAGATCCCTTTGGCCCCAGCACTGCCGCTGCTGCAGCCGCCGCAGGCGCAGCCGCAGCAGCTGCCCGCCCCATCCACAGAGAGGAGGATGGCAGCAGCGACGACCTCCCAAGCATCCGCACCACTGCCAGCCAGCAGTCTGGGGGCACCGCCGGCGGCGGCAGCCGCCGTGCGCAGCCCAAGGCCAAGAAAGAAACCACCGGCAGGTGCGCGGCCGGCTGGCCCTTCCTGCTGGCTGTGCATCGCAGCCCCTCCCAGCGACACAACCCAACCCTGACTGTGTCCCAGCGCCATCGCAGGTCCGATACATGCCTCCCCAGCTGCATGCACCACTCTGCTGCTGCCTCCCTTGCACTGCAGCAGGTGGGCCAAGGATCGGTACGATGCGGCTCAGCAGAGCCTGGCGGCCATCATGCGGCGCATGGGGGCCACCGCAGGTGGGCTGCCGGGAGGCCCTCCAGCCTGTTACCACCCACCCACCCTGCACCTCACCGCATGCATGCGATGCTCTCCCTCGCGTGCCCGCGGTGGTTCTGCCTGCCAGCTGGTTATCCCGTTTTGCCCCGTGTGCCCCTGCCGCGGCTAAGAAAGGCCTTCTTTGAAGGCGCTGGAGCTAGTGTCTAAACCCTCCGAGAGGGCACAGGTTCGATTCCTCCCATGTCGAAACTTTGTGAGGACAAACGCGGCATAGCTGACCGGCTCAGCGCCAATCCAAGCCAATTCCTTCGGGAACGCCTAATAGAATCGCCAAGGCTTCGGCACAGGCCTCCCCGGGACCCATTCACTACTAGTGGGGGGTACTGCACTTGGCGCGTCGGGCAGATCAAATAATGGTCTAAAGCTAGACGTTAAAACCGGGAAGTGAAGCTTGTGGAGGCTCTTCCCCACCTTTACCTTTTACCTTTTTGCCTGGCTGCGCCAGCCGCCCGCGCCATCGTTCGCCCTGCCCTGCGGGAGGAGGCCCGCAAGACCATCGGCGACACCGGCCTGCTGGATCACCTGTTGAAACACATGGTGGGTCACAGGGATCGAGGAACACGCGCCCCAGGCATACTGTGGGGTGGACAGGATGCTTGGCCAGGTGAACGGCAGGCTGCTTCTTCTTCTTCTCGCGGTCACGGCCGACGTTTCTGTCTGGCCGGGGTGCCTGCCTGCCGGCTGCTGCCTGCAGGCGGACCATGTTGTGTCCCCCGCCGGCGAGCGCCTGCGGCGGCGGCACGACGCGGAAGGGCACATGATCTACTGGCTGCAGTTGCCCGCCGACGCTGAGCAGGGTGGGGCTGGGGCGTGCGGCGGGATGCGTTGCCGCATGGCGATGCCGCAGTGCCAGGTGCTGTGCTGCTCCTCCCTCTGCAACACAAAGTATTCGGCGGCAACCCGCAATAAAGCCTCCTGCCTTCCTCTGTCGCGCCCCTTCCCCTCATGTCGCATGCTCGTACCTCCCATCCTTCCTCCAGAGGAGGAGGCCCTGCGGGAGGAGATGGAGAGCCTGAGCAGCGAGATGAGGGTGGTGAGGGAGGCGCGCCGCGTGCTGAGCGCGGTGCGCGGGGAGGCGGCGCAGGCCATCCAGGCAGTCAGGTGGGTGGGTGAGACAGCTGAGGGATGTGGCAGCGCTGGCGTGTAGCACATGCTGCCGTGAAGCTGCCGGCAGGCTGCCCGATGTGGTGGATGTGTCGCATGGCCCCATCACGGGTCAGCGCTGCATGCCGTGCCCGCTTCTCTCCCCGCCTTTGCAGCGGCATCAAGGAGCACCCCGAGCAGGTGGTGCAGGCGCTGAGCGCAGCCGCGCAGGCCCAGGTCCAGCCAGGCATCGCCTCGCCCCTCATTGCCTCCACGACAACCAGCGGGGTCACTCCCGCGGGCAGCCCAGGCCCCGGCCCCGGCAGCGCTGCCGCAGGCGCCCTGGCCGCCGGCCTGCTGGCGCCGGCGGCGGCCACGCATCCAGGCCCCGGGCTGGAGCCCAGTGGGCAGCCAGCGGACCTGCTGCAGCGTGTGCAGGCTGCAGAGGGCCAGGCGCAGGCGCTGCTGGTGGGTGGCGCTTGTGTGTATGAATGAACAGAGTCAAAGTGTCAGGTAGCAAGGCAGAGCACCATTGCGAGTGATACTGCGCCCTCTCTCCCGGCTGCAGAAGCGGCTGCAGGGTGCGGAGAGCCGGGCGCTAGCGGGGGTGGAGGCGGCACGGGGCGAGGCGGCTGAGGCCACCCGCCAGCTCAGCTCCCGGCTGGTAGCCCAGCTGGCGGCGCTGGCTGATGTGGCCCGCGGCGTCACCGCCAGGTGTGCCCACTGACCTCCCCACACATGCACCGCCGGCTTGATCTTGATCGTGCGGCTACAAAAACTGGGCAGCTTGTTCTAGCGAGGCTACTAGTGCTGTGAGCCAAGCTGCCGAACGCTTGCCCTCCTTGCCCTGCAAGCTGCACAGATTTTGCGTCGCGCTTGCTTGTGTGTGTCGCGCTGGCAGCGGCTCAAGACATGAGAGCAGTGCTTGTGTGCCTGCGCGGCCGCTGCCTGCCTGCAGGTGTGCTGCCCTGGAGCGCCAGCTGGCGGCGCTGGCGGAGGAGGGGCAGGGGCGGTACGAGGCATTGGCAGCCTCCCTGGCTGCCGCCACAGGGCTGAGGCAAGGCCCCGATCTGCTGGCTGGGCAGCAGATGCTGGCACCTCTCCTGCCCACAGCCTGTGCTGCGGGCTTCGCAGACCTGTCGGCACATGTGTCAATGACACCTGTTTCTTACTGGCACCTGGCACCCTGCTTGCTGCGCCGCAGGGAGGACGCCGCCTCTGACCGGGGCCGCATTGCGGCGTTGGAGGGAGAAGTGGCGGCCATCAAGACAGGGCTGTCGGCCCTGGCAGACGCCATGCACGACCAGCCCGCTGCACGCAATGCTCTGCTGGCGGCGGCCGCCGCCGGAGGCGCTGCCACTTTCGCGCCTGGCAGGCAGGGCGTGCAGGTTGGCGGTGGCAGTGCAGCAGCGCCGCCGCCGGCGAGAAGCCCAGCCGCGCCAGGCTGCCCGCAGCAGCGAATGGCTGCCGCCGGCAGCCCGGCTTCCCAGGGGCCGCCGCCGTCTGGAGGGCCCCATCGGAATGGCCCCGCCGTGTCCGTGGGTGCCGCGGCCGGAATGCAGCAGCCGGGGCCAGCCGCCGGCAGGAGTGGGGCCGCAACTGTCAGACCGCCGACTGCACCGCAAGCAGCACTGGCAGCCAGCGCCAGGGACCCGCAGCCACCAGCATCCGCGACAGCGGCGCAGGCATGCCCCAGCACAGTTGGCAGCGGCCCTCCTGGTTTTCCTGTGCTGGCGCTGCCGGCAGGGGTTGCCGTGTTTCCAGCACCCCAAGGGATCTGGCAGCAGCAGCACCCCTTGCAGCCCGTGATGGGAGCCGCCGTGTTCCCCGGCCTGGGCCAGCCGCCACTCCAGCCTTCCCCACTCCACACCCAGCAGCAGCTGGCAGCCGCTGCGGCCATGGCAGGCATTGCTCAAGGTGCAGGCGCTGCTGGGGGGCAGCCAGGCCAGCAGCAGCCGGCCCAGCAGAACCAGTCGGGCCAGCAGCAGCAGCAGCCGTTTGTTGCTCCGCTCCACCTGCTGCCCGACCCCCGCTTTGCACAGATCCTCATGCACCACCGCCAGCACCCCGGCAGCAGCGCCAGCAGCGGTTCCACCGGCCGCTCGCTGCACGCAGGGCAGCCCAATGGCGCTGGCATGCCGACGCCGCCTTCCGGAACTGGTGCTTGCCCTGCGGTGGCAGGCAGGGGAGCTGCAGGCGCCGCAGGCGCACCGGTGGGCATCGCGGTGGCTGCACACCGACTGAGCCGACCTGCAGCGCCGCAGGGCGCCCCTGCAGGCACCTCTGCCCGCAAGTGACGATGATGGCAGCAGCCAGCCACCCAACCGTGGAGTTAGCGTGATGTGGTCAACACGTGCCAGACCTCCACTGCTGCCATAGCGAGATGTAGAGGCCTTTGCTCCTGCAAGAGGCTCCTCCCATGCGACGCCGCTGCTCTGGCACCAGCTATTCTGTCTGCCCGTGATACCGTCAAGCCGAATGCATGCTTTCTGTGCTGCGATGATACCAGCCCAGCACTCTGCCACTCGCGCGCGCCCTCATTTGTTTGATATCTGCCCGTGACACCGTCCTGCTCCTGCCCTTTGCTTCACAAATGCCCTTTCATTGTGTTAACAAGTGCATTGGACATCACACAGCGGCAGCAGGCGAGATGCCGGCTTGTCAATGTGGAGAGTCACATCAGCATGCCGTGACTGGAGGAAGAGGTGCTTGTGGCATGCGGCGGGCTACGCTACAGGTCGCCCTGCTCGCTGCGCACATGCAGCTCATGGGCTTGCCAGGGGCCCTGCAGCCGCCCCGCCTGCCGCCACGCGTGCCGCCGCTCGTCCAGCCGGCGACGCTCCGGCGTCGGCTCCGGCCACTCCCGACTCGTCCAGCTGCAGCTGTCTCTCCACTCCTTCCACCGCTTGTCCTCCTCCCCCTCCTCTGGCGGCATCGAGCCGGGCGTGAGGTCGGGGATGGCGCTGAGGAAGAGGATGTGAGGCTCCTCCTTCTGCTTGGCCGCCTCCACCACCGCTGCCCAGCTGCTGGCCTGCTGCTCTGCGGCGCCCGCCTGATCCGCCTGATCAGTCTGGTTTGCGGCCTGCTCCTGAGGCACCTGTTTCTGCAGCCCGTCCAGCTGCACCGTGTTGTCGGGCCCGGGCTCGCCGGTGCCGTCTGGCAGGCGCCGCACCAGCTCCCGATAATCTGGGTGCGTGATGTAGGTGCCCGGCATGCAGCGCTTGTCCACCAGGGGCCACCACACGCAGTGCTGGTCGTCATCCAGCCCGTACTTGAGCATCTGAGGGGGAGGCAGGCACGTGGGGGGAGGCAGAGGGCAGGAAGATGAGGCGCCACCGCTCGGCTGGCTGGCCAAAGCAGCCGATGCACAGCCGCGGGCCTCGCCAGCGAGCAGGTGGTGGGCCGGGCAGTGCATGCGCTTGCGAGGGGCTCTGGGCATCCCTCGCCATGCCGCTGCACCGGCGCAGGCCCGCCACCTACCACCCATTCTGCGCAGCTCTTGGTGCGCTTGTGGCCGAGCACATCGTCGTCGCCAGGGTCATAGTACGTCTGCGGGGCACCCTAAACCCTAAAAATGGGCAGCCGTCCCACGGCCCTCGCCCCGTTGAAATTGAAATGGCAGCTGCATGCAGAGGAGTGGAGGAGGCTCGGCTGGTAAGGCGCCGCCCGGCGCTCACCCAGGTCGTGTTGCGGAGAGGGTCTGGCAGGAGCATCACGCGGCCCACGCGCATTGCCAGCCGCACCAGCTGCATCTGCTTGTCCCTGCGGAAGGCAGGCAGGCAGGCAGGCAGGCAGGCAGGGATGGACTGCATGGCATCCGCGGCTGGCGTCGATGGCTGGGTGGGCTATGAGCGCCTCTGCCAGGCGCGTCGCCACCCCCCCGGACAACACATCGCCCCACACCCAACGCCCGCACCTAAACTCCTGTCTCGTTGTGCTGGACAAATAGAGGCCGGGAGCCAGGGCCAGCACGCGCGGCAGCGGCTGCTCGGGTGTGGCCGTGGGGAAGAGCTGGCCATGCAAGGCCTGGGTCAAAGGAGGAGGGCAGGAATGTAGGGGCAGAGGGGCCGCCAACACAAGGGCACTGACACGAGGCAGGGCATCACATGCAGCAGGCCTGTGCATCACTGGAGATGCATGCACCACGGCCCCATACTGTGCACCAGCGCAGCGTTCCTGAGAGGCGCAATGAAGACGGGGCAGGCGCACGGGCTGCGCTGTGCCGTTCACGCCACCGCACACACCTGTGACACATCAAAGTTGAAGGCGTTGACAGCTTTCATCCCATACTCCTTTTGGTAGGGCCCCTCCACCTCCCCAGGCATGAACATCACGTGCACCTGAACACAGCACAATATAGGGAGGGTGCGCTTGTTGCCACACAGGGAGCAGACGTGACGAGCTCATCATCAGCTCCCTTCCACATGCCTGCCACAGCTCTCCCTCTCGGTCCTGCAACCAGTCTCTGACCTCGACCCACAGCATGCCAGCCGCCCCTCCTACGCCCTTCCCCACCGCATCGGCTCACCGCCACTTGCGCCGGCGGCTGCAGGTCCCAGAACCCTCCCATGCGCCGCCCAAGCCAGGTCTGCACACAGCGCAGCGCAGCACAGCGCAGCGTAGCGCAGCACACCATGTCACAGAATTCAGAGGCACAGGCTGGAGCTGGGGCCACGCCAGAGGCAATGTCGCGCGACGCACAGAGGGGCTGCCGCTTCTTGCGACGTGCCCTCTGCGAAACACATGTATCTGCGATATGCATGCGCCTGGCTTCCACACAACTTACCCCGACGAGCCACTCGGGGGAGAAGATGAAGGTCTCGTTTGGCGGCGGGACCCAGCCTTCGCGGGTGGGACCCTCGATCTGCTCATACTTGTGCCCGCTCTCCTCTTCCAGAGTCTGCGGCGCAGAACGGGGAGTGTGGCAATGAAAGCGTCAACGCATCAGGCAGCTGGCCAGCCAGCCAGCCGGGGCGGCAAGAACACGATGGTGCAGGTGATCAGCCGCAGGCCCGACATGCCAGCACTCCACATATCGTGCAGCATGCGTGGCAGCAGTGCCAGCACAACACGGCAGGCGCCAGGCCCCGACCCGCCAGCCACCCAAACACACCTTGATGAACGCCAGTGCGAACTTGCCCCGCGGCGGGTAGGGCTGCCCCCCGATCTCTGCGTCCCACTTCCCGTTGATGTGCTGCAAAGCCAGGGGCGGGGACGGCGGGATGCACTGTTCTGCGTGCAGCGTGCAGCAAGGGGTGCCGCCTCACACCATTGCAAGAAAATGCCTCTTCTAGGGCGCGCACCGGGATGGTGAGGTTGAACCCCTGCTCGGTTGCCACCTCCAGCGAGCCGGTGAGGTTAACCCACTCTGGCGGGAACTTCAGCTGCACGCCAGGATCGCCATACTGCAGCCGCTCCCACACCTCGTTGGCCAGCCCCGGCGACATGGGCAGGGTGAACTCGACGTACGGGTGTCGCAGCCGGTTGGTGCCCATGGCATCCGCCAGCACAAACTGTGGCAGGCAGGCAGGTGGGCGGCCATGCGGGGTGGGGTGGGGTGGGGGGGTTCTGGGGATCGGCGTGTGTGTGGAGAAGGCGGATACACACGCGAGCAGGCTGTTGCTGCCGGCTCGGAACGACACACACGGCCTGGAGGGATGCTGCCCAGGGATGCAGGTGTGAGGGGATGCACCCCCTCACGAGCCAACCTCCTCGTGTTCCCCTGCATGAGACGGACACAGCGCGCGCAGCGGGCCTTGCCTGGTCCATCATGGCGTGCCCCAGGTGGCCGTCGTCGCTGATGTTGGCGTTTGCCGCCCACTTCTTCCAGTCCTCGTTCACCCGGATCATGCGCTCAGCCGCGTAGGCAATCGTCCAAGCCGCCCCGCCGCCGGGAGCGGCGTTCTGGATGTAGGAGGCTCCGCCTGCACGCACGCAGAGCAGCGGGTGGGCAGCGCGTGCATGGATGAAGGGCGCACGGCGGGCGCGGCACACGGGGCAAGCACCAGCCAGGCAGGCGGGCGGCATGCACAGCAAACAGCTGGCCGCCGCCGCACCATTGGTGAGCGTGGCGCCGTTGTCTGACAGCGTCATCCACTTGATGTCCTTGTAGGGCGGCACCTTGACGTACTTGTAAGGGTCCCGGTACAGGTAGGAATCTGTATCCAGCAGCCTGCGGTATGGGCAGTACAGTACAAGGGGCGCAGTGCGGCGCTCGGACAGGAAGCAGGTGAGCGAAGCAGCCACTGGGGCAAGGCGAAGCGCAGCCTGGCAGCTACCCCAACAAGCCGACCCGGCTGCGCAGCGCAGCAAGGGGCTGCTGCGGTGGTGGCGCTGGTGATAGCCCGGGTTGCTGTTGGTGGTGGTGGTGGTGGGCAACGCGGCAGGGCCGCTCACCACACGTTGTAGCCGAGCCAGACAGCTCGAGCCATCAAGATGTAGCGCACAGCCCAGATGTCAGTCGACTCAGACAGGTTGCCATACTTGGCTCGGGTTGGAAACCAGTCCCTGCGAGGAGCAGCAGACGGGCGAGCGCACAGGCCCTACGTATGTTGCCTCCTTCCTCTGAGGCAAGGGGAGGGGAGGGAGGTGCCACATGCCAGAGACCCTCTGCAACAGGCTCCCAGGGAGGCTCACTCAGCTTCAGGGATGGCGGGCGCATCCCCTGCCCCGGCTACATCGCTTGCAGGCCCCTGCGGAGCTCACCGGTCTGACCAGACGCATGTGACGTTGTTGTACCCAGCCTCCGCCAGCACAGCACACGACTCGTTGCCGGTCGCGTGCAGCATGACATTGGCCAGGCCCAGCTTCCAGGCGCCCGCCACTGCAGGCAAGCAGGGTCAGAGCAGAGCGCAAGTGTGTGTGGTGGAGCATGCTGTGACGGGCTTGCCCGGAGAGACTGCCCGCCAGCGCTGCCTGCCCGCACCAAAGTTCATGCCCAGCAGGTGGCCTCCCGAGCCGATGGTGAGCAAGAAGAAGTCCTTCTTGTAGCTGCAGGCCTCCAGCTGCAACAGCAGGGCAGCGTTTGTGCGGTGGGAGGCAGGAGCGCAATGCGGAGGGAGGCAGGGCATGCTTCCTGTGGCCCCACCCAACTCACCGCCGCCTTGAGGCCCTCTGTGCTGTCAACCTCGCCCACATATGCCTGCAGCTTGCCCAAGCTGCAGTAGCCGCTCTCCCGGCAGGGCAGGTCGGGCTCAGCCTCCCCGCCGTCGCTGCTGCTGCCATCTGCCTCTTCATCGCCGCCGCCATCTTCTGCCGCAGCGTCACTGGTGCCAGCATCAGCGCTGCCGTCTTGCTCGCCTTCTGCCTCTGCGCCACTGTCGTGTCCCTCGCTGCTGCTGCTTCCCTCCCCTTTTGGCTCGCCTCCACCGCTGCTTTCCTCGCCCTCTGGCTCAGCATCGCCGCTGCTTCCCTCACTCTCTGGCTCAGCAACGCCGCTGCTTCCTTCACTCCCCGGCTCAGCGCTGCTGCCGCCGCTATCGTCGCTGCTGCTGTTCTCGCTAATGTCCACCATTTCGCTGCTGTCGCTGCCGCCATCCTCGCCGCTGCTGCCATTGGCCGCCAGGCCCAGCTGGATGGGGATGGCTCCGGTGAGGTAGGACAGCGAGGTGGTGGTGAGGTGCTTGGCGGCTGTGCCCACCACGCCAGACAGCCTGGTGCCCGGCACCGTCACCGCCAGCATGAGAGCCAGCACCATCCCTGCCGCTGTGAGCGCCGCAGTGCGCGGCCAGGCGACATCGCTGGCGGGGCTGTCGAGCTTGAAGCGGCGGCGGTGGGGCGGGGGCGGGGCGGCCTGCGGCAGCCCGCCGTTCTCCACCATCCTTCCTCCTGAGCTGCTTGAACCTGTGTCTCTGGTCAATCCGATGCGCTGCGCCGAGCAAGGCGTGCAGGTGTCAAGCGCCGCGCATCAGCGGTAGCCCTACTCAACGACTTGGGAGCTACGGTGCGTCCTCCACACGACAATTGAATAGCGGGAAGCGCTGTATGCCACCAGACGAGGATCCAACGGCACCGAACAAGTACACTGTTCCCCGTCACTGCCTTGCCATGCTGAGGCTCTCACGCTTCAATGGCCGAAGAAGAACCACACCAAAGGCGCCGTCAATTGGGGACCCAGCATTCAGCGCTTGGCTCCCTCTCCCCAGCCTCGCCAGTCGGCGGTGGTGTTGCGGCGGTGCCGCAGCAGCTGAAGATGTCAGAGGAAGAAACGTTGGCTGGAAAAGTAGTGCATCAGAAATTATTGTCGCAACAAAATAGACAGAAACGCTAGAGATCGCTCGACTCGCTGTGCAAATGGCGCTGGCTGGCGCGTCGCAGGCCGCCGCCTCTGTGCTGCCAACCATGCCGCAGCTCGCCCAGCCGGCGGCGTGCCTTGGGGGGTGGCAGATTCTCTTCCGGATCGTGTGCCCAGCCACAGCCAGCTACCCACCCGGTCCACCACGTGTCCTCCTCCCCCTCCTCTGGTGGCATCGAGCCGGGCGTGAGGTCGGGGATGGCGCCGAGGAAGAGGATGTGAGGCTCCTCCTTCTGCTTGGCTGCCGCCGCCACCGCCTCCCAGCTGCTGGCCTGCCCCTGGCCCTGCCCCTGCTGCTGGTTGTCCCCAAGCTGCACCGTGTTGTCGGGCCCAGGCTCGCCCGTGCCGTCTGGCAGCCGCCGCACCAGCTCCAGATAGTCTGGGTGCAGGATGTAGGCGCTTGGCATGCAGCCCTGGTCCTCAGCAGACAGCCAGACGCAGTGCTGGTCGTCGTCCAGCCCATAGGGCAGCACCTGGGGCGCAAGGGCAGGGTTGGAGGGCGGTAAAGGGAGAGGCACGGCGCATAAGAGCCACAAGCTCAGAGCGGTAGTAGGGTGGAGCCTCAGTGACTCTATGCAACCACACAGGAAGCTCAGCACACACACCTGCTCTAAGTCGTACTCATTGCGCCGGTGGCCCTGCACATCCTCCACCCCATCACCGCTGCGCAGCTGCAAGGGGCACACAAGGATGGAAGAAACGGACATCAGCGCGGCCGCTTGGATGGACGCCCAGCACATTACTTGCACGGAGGGGCTGCCTGTGGGCCTTGCTGGCATGGCCAGCTAGCCCTCACCCAGGTCGAGTTGCAGACTGGGTCTGGCAGCAGCATCACGCGGCCCACGCGGATCGCCAGCCGCACCAGCTGCACCAGCTTGTCCCTGCGGCAGTCGGGCAGGCAGGCAGATGCCCAGAAGGGGATGACGCGCACAGCAGCCGCGGCAGCCGCTGCTGGCGGTGAAGAAAGCGCTTCTGCCACGCATCCAGCGCCACTAGGGTCTGGACTCATCCATATCTTGCGCAGCCCTTGTGCCTTACCAGCAGCCGCACCTGTATTCAATGATGGTCGTGCTGGTCAACTTGTCTCTGGGCAGCAGAGCCAGCACGCGCGGCAGTGGCTGCTCGGCTGTGGCCGAGGGGAAGAGCTGGCCCTGCAAAGCCTGCAAGGGCGGCGAGGTGCCACAGCAGGCAGCAGGAACAGGGCTGAATATGCACCAGGCAAGGCAGGGCAAGCTGGATGTGGCGATGGAATGGGCTGTGGTGCAGCCAGGCAGCACGCGCCTCTGCCAGACCAAGGCTGCGAGCGCCCAGCAGCCAGCCAGCAAAGCAACAAGAGCAGCACGCTCCTCCACTGTGCATCACGCAGCAACCGCACCCCCTCACCACCACAAACACACACACCTGCGCCACCTCAAAGTTGAAGGCATTGATGGACTTCATGCCATACTCCTTCTGCAGGTGTCCCGCCACCCAGCCGGGCATGAAGACCATGTGCAGCTGCATGGCAGCAGCAAGGGAAAGGCTTTGGCTTTGTGCGGGCGTGCCCGGCTCCGTACACCTCCCGCACCGGTCCTCTCTCTCCTGCCGCTCACCATCACTTGCGGTGGGGGCTGCAGGTCCCACGTGCCTCGCACGCCTCGGTCCAGCCAGACCTGCACCCCACAGCACACCACATGGATGCGTGGGCCAGCAGGCGAAGCAGGCGCTGCCAGCAGCACATGCAGCGCTCTGGCAACCTGGGGATTGCAGCGCAGGCCCGGCTGGCTCCTCAAGCACTCACCGAGATGAGCCACTGCGGGGTGAACATGAAGGTCTCATTTGGCGGAGGCACCCAGTTTTTGGGGGTGGGGCCCTCTATGTCGGCATACTTGAGCCCGCTCTCCTCCTCTAGTAACTGCAGCGCAGGCGTGGAGGACCAGAGCTATGAGGCCAGTGCACACCGAATCATGCAGCCAGTCGGCCAGGATGTGTGGGAGGCAGCCAGTGCCTGCAAGCCACCGGCACACGCTCATGGCACGGTGCAGGCCAGGCCGCTGCCCGCCTGGCTCGCCTGCCCGTCCACGCAGCCACACCATGATGAATGCCAGCGAGTGGTTGCCGCGGGGCGGGAAGCGCTTGCCCCCAATCGTCTTGTCCCACTTCCCATTCAGGTGCTGCGCCCAGAGCGGCAGCGAACGGACCAGCAGCAGTCAGCAGCCAGCGCTTGGCAGGGGGCTGCCAGCAGCATTGCGCATGCCGCCACGCAGCCTGCTCGGTGCGACGCAACCAGGATCAAAGGGCAGCGGCGCAGGCGCACCGAGATGGTGAGGTTGAAACCCCCCTCGTGGGCGGCCTCAGTGGTTTGTGTGAGGTCGGCCCAGTCTGGCGGGTAGCGCAGGTGCAGGCCCGGGTCGTGGTAGTGCAGCCGCTCATCCAGGTCGGGCGCCAGGTCGGGAGCATTCCACAGCGTGAAGCGCACGTAGGGGTGGCGCAGCCGGTTGCCCGCGATGATGTCTGACAGCACAAACTGCAGAGGGAGGGAGGGAGGCGGGAGGACGGGGGGAGGGAGGGCAAGGGAGCATAGGCGAGGGGTGATTCACAATTTAAGGGCCGGTCAGGCTGCCCGCCCCCGCCAAACCGTAGGCACCGCCAGGCAGCACCAGGGTCGCATGAGGCGCAGCTGCCTTGCTGCAAGGGCGGCCTGCCTCGTGCGGGAGGGGGTGCCATGCATGTGCACACCACCCTCTCTCGATGCGTGCCTGGTCCATCATGGCGTGGCCCAGGTGGTTGAGGTCGCTGATGTTGGAGGCCCGGGAGAACCACTCCCACTGCTCGTTCACCCGGATCATGCGCTCGCACATGTGGGCGATCGTCCAGGCGGCGGGGCCGCCCGGGGCGGCGTTTTGGATGTAGGAGGTGCCGCCTACGGGCCACGGGAGCGGGCACGACGGGGCTGTGCGCGTACTGCTTTGTCCAGAGCAGCACATGCCGAGGCAAGGCGAAGCAGCGTGCAGAGCCAGGGGCGGCAGGGCGCTGGAGGCGCCGATGGTGGCTGGCCTGCGGCGCCCCCGCAGCTGCTCCCCACCATTGATGATGTTGCCATTGTCCGCCATCGACATGAAGGTGACGTTGCTGAGAGGGGGCACCTTGAGATATTTGTAAGGGTCCCGGTAAAGGTAGGAATCTGTGTCTAGCAGCCTGCAATACAGGCAGTACACAGCAACCGCAAGCACATCAGAGCAGCGCCAGGCACAGCTGTGAAAGATCTCAAGGGTTCATCGGAGAGTGGTGAGCGCACATGCAAAGCAGCAGAAGCGGCGGGGCAGGGCCGCTCACCACACGTTGTAGCCGAGCCAGACGGCTCGAGCCATCAAGATGTAGCGCACAGCCCAGATGCCAGTCGACTCACCCACGTTGAACTTGCCATCCCGATTAGGGAACCACTCCCTGCGGCGGGAAGACAGCCACGGCTGCCAAGTCATGGCCCAGCCGCCGCCGCTTGGCTGAGGAATTTCGAGGGGCACAGTAGCAGCAAGTCTGGCAGGCCGCCGCTCCTGCCATAGATGAACGGCTGCATGCCCTGTCCAGGCCCACGAGACAACATCTCACCGGTCTGACCAGACGCATGTGACGTTGTGGTATCCGGCAGCTGCCAGCTTGGCGCAGGACTCGTTGCTGGTCGCGTGCAGCATCACGTTGGCCAGGCCCAGCTTCCAGGCGCCCACCACTGCAGGCAAGCAGGGTCAGGTCAGACCGCAGGTGTGTGTGGTGGAGCATGCTGTGACGGGCTTGCCCGGAGAGACTGCCAGCCCGCGCTGCCCGCCCGCACCAAAGTTCATGCCCAGCAGGTGGCCTCCCGAGCCGATGGTGAGCAAGAAGAAGTCCTTCTTGTAGCTGCAGGCCTCCAGCTGCAACAGCAGGGTAGCGTTTGTGCGGTGGGAGGCAGGAGCGCAATGCGGAGGGAGGCAGGGCATGCTTCCTGTGGCCCCACCCAACTCACCGCCGCCTTGAGGCCCTCTGTGCTGTCAACCTCGCCCACATATGCCTGCAGCCTGCCCACGCTGCAGTAGCCGCTCTCCCGGCAGGGCAGGTCGGGCTCATCCTCCCCGCCGTCGCCGCTGCTGCCGTGTGCCTCTTCATCGCCGCCGCCATCTTCTGCCGCAGCGTCACTGGTGCCAGCATCAGCGCTGCCGTCGCTGCCTTGCTCGCCTTCTGCCTCTGCGCCACTGTCGTGTCCCTCGCTGCTGCTGCTTCCCTCAGCCTCTGGCTCGGCCCCGCTGCTGCTTTCCTCGCCCTCTGGCTCAGCATCGCTGCTGCTTCCTTCACTCCCTGGCTCAGCGCTGCTGCCGCCGCCGTTGTCGCCGCCGCTTCCCTCAGCCTCTGGTTTGACTCCACCGCTGCTTTCCTCAGCCTCTGGCTCAGCATCGCTGCTGCTTTCCTCAGCCTCTGGGTCAGCATCGCCACTGCCTCCTTCGCTCTCTGGGCCAGCCCCGCTCCCGCCGCCAACGTCGCCGCTGGTTTCCTCGCTCTCTGGCAGAGCATTGCCGCTGCCTCCCTCACTCTCTGGCTGAGCGCCGCTGCCGCCGCTATCGTTGCTGCTGCTGGTCTTGCTACCATCTGCCTCTTCGATGCTTTCACTGCCGCTGATCCCACTGCCGTCATGCTCAGCACTGCTGCTGTTGTTGCTGGGCTCAGCCAGCTGAATTGGGGTAGAGGTTGGCGAAACCAATGGCAGCGAGGTGGTGGTGAGGTACTTGGTGGCTGTGCCCACCACGCCAGACAGCCTGGTGCCCGGCACCGTCACCGCCAGCATGAGAGCCAGCACCATCCCTGCCGCTGTGAGCGCCGCAGCGCGCGGCCAGGCGACATCGCTGGCGGGGCTGTCAAGCTTGAAGCGGCGGCGGTGGGGCGGGGGCGCGGCCGCCTGCGGCAGCCCGCCGTTCTCTACCATCCCGCAATAGCAGCCCGCTGAACTTTCTCAGTGTGATGGGCTCACTCCCGCTCACTGGCGCAGCAGAATTATCGCGCTGCCGATGCAGTGTGCGGAAACATGGCCGAGCAAGAGGCAAATGGAGTCTTCTGAGAGTGTGGAAAGCGCCTACATAAAAAACCAAAAGCAGCAGGTCCAATCGAGAGGAGCCGGCCATGTGCGGCGGGATGCCAGGCGGGGCGGCCACACAAGGGCTTCATGATGGATGCATTGACCCGGCTTCTTGACGACCAATCCTTCGGCAATCTGTTCAATCGACTATATTTACAGGTACAGTGTTGCAATATCTCAATACCAAGGCCAGAACCGCGAGAATGCGCCGGCACCGGACAAACGCCGCCAGCTCCCAATACACCGCCGAGCCCTTCCGATGGCTGGCTGAAATAAAGGGCGCCATGATGTACACTGATGGCACAAGCTGCAAGAGCAGCCGGCTTCCCACGCCAGATGCACAGCTGCCCCAGTCATCTGCTGTACCCGCCCGTGTGCTTGAACTGGTAGCCCTTGCCTGCAGCAGCACTCATCGGGGTTCACTTATTAGAGGAGAGGCATGCACGGCACGGTACTTGAGAAACCTGAGGCTGCCAATGCACTGCTGGCGCCAGCAGCCAAGTTAACACCAGCGTGCCAGTAGCCAGCGGCCCGCATGCCTGTATGGGAGCGAGGGTCGGACAGCACACGCTGAAACTGCTTCTCGCTGAGGTTGCGCCTGAACATCTGGGTCTTGCCCTGGCGGGGATGGTTCATCACAGTCTTCACCGTGCCGGCTGCAAGCACCGGGGGCGGACTGGGGCGGCAGTCGGGTGCTGGCACAGCATGAGCGGGGAGCAGGCTGCTGACACATGCCGGCCTGCCTGCGACTCACTGGTGGGGTAGTAGTCCATCTTAACATCCGTGCCATTCTCTTCGACCCTGGCCAAGTAATCCACACGGCTCGCCTCGTTTGAACCCTGGAAGTGCCAGCCGTAATCTGCGGGGTCTGTACGGTGGCGGGCCGGCAGCCGCTGGTGCTGCGTGGTGCCCTGCCGGCGCGGTGGCTCCACACACTGCTGATACAGGGGCTCGGTCTGATACCAGTGCTGCGCCTCGGCGTAGGTGGCGCGCGGTGTGTAGCACGGAACGGCGTAAGGCTGGTAAGATGTGTAGCCCCACATGCTCTCGCCAGCCGCACTGGCGTGCGTTACGAAGTGATCGCAAACAAGAGAACGACCTCAGGAGCACGATTGCCAAAATTTGTTTGGTTCGCTGCTGGGCCTGCTGTGGGCGGTTGGAGGGCGCCGAAACCAAGGTGTGCTTCACCCCTTCTCAATTTCAGTTTCTGCAAGCCTCGCACGCATTAACGTGCATGAGTGAATCAAAAAAAGAGACTGAATGGGTTGCTACTCCCACTGCTCACCACTGGAGCTGCAGTTGGCTCAGCAACGCATTGCCGCGGTCGATCCGCAGCGTGGGCGGCAGCCACAGCCGGTGCAGCCCGGAGAGGAAGGGCACTCCTTGCACCTGTCACCTGGTGTGTTTCCAGAAAAGAGCGTGCCAGATGGCGCAGGCAACGAATTGAAAATAAAAGGGCATTCTTTTGCTCTAAATTTTTCTCTCAGCACATGCTGCCAGGTGATGCAGGGCACCCACATGATGGACAAGCCGAGCAGTCCTTCGCGACATGCGTGCCTTGCCTCCCCGCCTGCCTGCATCCCGCCAGCCTGGGCTTGCATGCAGGTGTGCCTGCCTGATCTGAACACGCTCCCATCACGTGCGTGCTTTGCAGACGTGTGTGCGTGCAAGCGGCGTGCCAATGGCACATATTGGATTCAGCATTCAAATGAAGCGAAAGGTCAAAAGAGCGAGCCAAAGCGCCAGCCGCCAGGGCGCAGCCGACCACATCCCGGCTGCGGGCAGCCGTCTATCGCTCCGGGATGATCAGCTCAGCCAGGCTCCAGTCCTCAAACGAGTTGTCGGGCAGGTACCGCCTGCAGCAGCACGCACAGGAACAGCTCGTGGCAGCGTCCACGCGGGCCGACCAGCAACGCCAAACGCGGTTCCACATCACAGGTCACATCACACTTCAACGCCACAGCTGGCCGAGAGAAGGCTTCCTTCCTCCGGCCGCCTCACCGGATGATGAAGGGGATCTTCTTCTCGCGCAGCTCCTTGTACGCAATCTCCAGCGGGTCTGTCTCGGTCCCCACCTCCACCATCACCGGCGCATTCATGCTGATCTGCGCGCCGTTGGCGACCCCAGGCAGCAGGAAGCTCAGCCAGCGTCCACACAGGCGGAACGCACGGCAGCGTGGCTGGCGACGTGCTGAGGCCGCAGCAGCTGTGCTGGCTCTTGATTCAGCGGCGGCAGCACATGCGCGTCTGACTACCACTCCCGCGCTACGGGTGCCCCAAAGTGCAGCAGCGACGGCAACAGGCAGCATCTTCCCCGCCTGCCTCCAGGCCACTGCTCCATTCCCCGCACCCCACCTGTAGCGCCCGCGTGCCCAGCACCCGCGCCTTCTCGTACTTTGTGAGGTAGCGGGTGGTGATGCGCGGCCGCTCCGCTTGCGCCTGCTGCTGCCCTGGCCCCTGCTCCAGGATCTCAACCTGATCCTGCCCTGCACCCAGAACAACAGCGGTCGAAGTCCTGTGCCGGTGCGCTCCCATGGGAGGGGGGGCACGCCAGCTAGCCAGCTGGCAGGAGCGGCCCGAATGCTGGCCAGGCTCCACTCACCCTGCTGCTGGTTCATGCGGTCGCCCAGCTGGTCTCCCAGCTCCTCTGCCACCTCCTCCTCCTCGCCCCAAGGGTTGTCATCGGCAAGCTCCTCATCCCCAAATTCATCAGCGCCAAAGCTGCGGCGCGTTTCAGGGAGCAAGCAAGAGGTGGGCGGCGGCAGCGACGTGGCGGCGGCGGCGGTGCTGCAGCACCCCCCCGGCGGTCTCAAAGATGCTGCGCTGGATCCTCAATGCATGCCTTGCCCGCCTGGGCCCCACCAAGCGGCTGGCAGGCATAGCCAGCTGCATGCGGCAGCACTTCACGCACTTGTCCCCTCCAGCTCCTCCCGTAAAGAAGTCATCGTCATCTGCCATGTTGAAGGTCTAGCGCAGGCTACAGGACGGAAGATGCGCTGGCTGCGAATGGAGCGGCGACAGTGGTGGCCTGGACCGTCGATACAGCGTCACAAACCAATGCAAGACAATGCAGAAAGCAACAAGGCCGGCGATGGGCTCTTCTGGGCCTCATGGCGAGTGGTAGGCCACGGAAGAAAATTCGGCCTCGACCGCCAAAGCCCCAGCCGGGCCGGCCAGCGGGCTGATCCCCTCGCTCAATGCCCATGCTGCTCGGGCGGCCTAGTGGGTTCTCCATTCACCGCTCAGTGCTCTCTTTCACCCAGCAGCGGGGACAGCGGAGGCTCATAATGGCGTCTGCCGGCCAGAACAGCGGGGACCTGGAGTGGCCCGTGGCCAGAGTGCGCAGCACTTTCGTGGAATTCTTCGTCGGCAAGCAGCACACCGCGGTTTCCTCATCGCCGGTGGTTCCCGTGAATGATCCCACGCTGCTGTTTAGGCAAGGCAGCAGCCAGGGAAGGACAGCAGGAGGGTGGCGGATGCCGTCGGCGCAGGGGTGTCGGGGCGGTGGGCGGGGTTGGCAGCACCGCCGCCGCTTGCCGCGGCGGCGCAGCCCTCCGTTGCGGTCGCCAACACCCCTGCAACCCATGCCCCGCCTGCAGCAATGCGGGCATGAACCAGTTCAAGCCCATCTTCCTGGGCACGGTCGACCCCAACTCTGACTTCGCCAAGCTCAAGCGCGCCGCCAACTCGCAGAAGGTGCGGCGGGTCTTTGGGCACCCGCAGCAGCGTGGACCCAGCCATAGCCAGGCCCTGCCGCCGCGCCTAGCTCGGCTCAGCCTTGCAGCGGGCTGGCCGCTGCGTGGCGTCCACGGCCCAGGCGCCGCCGGCTTGGCTGACCTTCGCCGCTCCGATCTGGCGGCGCCGTGCTGGCCTGCCCACCACCTGCCTGACCTGCCCGCCAACTGCCCTCCCGCCCCCGCAGTGCATCCGTGCCGGCGGCAAGCACAACGACCTGGACGATGTGGGCAAAGACAACTACCACCACACATTCTTCGAGGTGCGGCGGCGGCTGCGCGTGTTGCATGGCGGGAGAGAGGCGGCGCCAGCAAGCAAGAGGGCCGCAGGGCAGAGCTACCGGGCTGTGCTGACGCTGCACCCGGGCCTCCCGCCCCACCTACCCCGCCCCACCCAACACACACCCACACGTGCGCACACACACACACACACCCACACGTGCACACACACCCACACCTGCAGATGCTTGGCAACTGGTCCTTTGGCGACTACTTCAAAAAGGAGGCCATCAGCTGGGCCTGGGAGCTGCTCACAGAGGTGCGC